ACCAGGACCAAGACCAAGACCAGGACCAGGACCAGGACCAGGACCAGACCAGGACCAGGACCAGACCAGGACCAGGACCAGACCAAGACCAAGACCAAGACCAGGACCAGGACCAAGACCAAGACCACCAGGACCAGACCAGACCAAGACCAAGACCAAGACCAAGACCAAGACCAAGACCAGGACCAGGACCAGACCAGGACCAGGACCAGATGAGAAACAGACCAGGACCAGGACCAGGACCAGGACCAGGACCAAGACCAAGGACCAGGACCAGGACCAAGACCAGGGACCAGACAAGACCAGGACCAGGACCAGGACTAAGACCAGGACCAGGACCAGGACCAAGACCAGGACCAGGACCAAGGACCAAGACCAGGACCAGGACCAGGACCAGGACCAGGACCAGGACCAGGACCAGGACCAGGACCAAGACAAGACCAGGACCAGGACCAAGGACCAGGACCAGGACCACCAGACCAGGACCAGGACCAGACCAGACCAGGACCAAGACCAAGGACCAGGACCAGGACCAAGACCAAGACCAAGACCAAGACCAGACCAGGACCAAGACCAAGACCAAGGACCAAGACCAAGGACCAGGACCAAGGACCAAGACCAAGACCAGACCAAGGACCAGGACCAAGACCAAGACCAAGACCAAGACCAGACCAAGACCAAGACCAAGACCAAGACCAGGACCAAGACCAAGACCAAGACCAGACCAAGACCAGGACCAAGACCAGGACTAAGACCAGGACCAAGACCAGAACCAGGACCAGGACCAAGACCAGAAGACCAAAGACCAGGACCAAGACCAAGACCAAGACCAAGACCAAGACCAAGACCAAGACCAGACCAGACCAGGACCAGACAGACCAAGACCAGACCAAGACCAGACCAGACCAAGACCAGACCAGGACCAGACCAGACCAGGACCAGACCAGGACCAGGACCTAAGACCAGGACCAGGACCAAGACCAGGACCAGGACCAGACCAGGACCAGGACCAGGACCAGGACCAGGACCAGGACCAAGACCAAGACCAGGACCAAGACCAGGACCAGGACCAAGACCAAGACCAGGACCAAGACCAAGACCAAGACCAAGACCAGGACCAGGACCAGGACCAAGACCAGGACCAGGACCAGGACCAAGACCAGGACCAGGACCAGGACTAAGACCAGGACCAGGACCAAGACCAGGACCAAGACCAAGACCAAGACCAAGACCAAGACCAGGACCAGGACCAGGACCAGGACCAGGACTAAGACCAGACCAGGACCAGGACCAAGACCAAGACCAAGACCAGGACCAAGACCAAGACCAGGACCAGGACCAGGACCAGGACCAGGACCAGGACTAAGACCAGGACCAGGACCAGGACCAGACCAAGACCAGGACCAAGACCAGGACCAAGACCAAGACCAGACCAAGACCAAGACCAAGACCAAGACCAGGACCAAGACCAAGACCAGGACCAGGACCAGGACCAAGACCAGGACCAAGACCAGGACCAGACCAGACCAAGACCAGACCAGGACCAGACCAAGACCAGGACCAGGACCAGGACCAGGACCAAGACCAGACCAGACCAGACCAAGGACCAGGACCAAGACCAGGACCAGGACCAGGACCAGGACCAGACCAGACCAGGACCAGGACCAGACCAGGACCAGACCAGACCAGGACCAGACCAAGACCAAGACCAGACCAAGACCAGGACCAAGACCAAGACCAGGACCAGACCAGACCAGGACCAAGACCAAGACCAGGACCAAGACCAAGACCAAGACCAAGACCAAGACCAGGACCAAGACCAAGACCAGGACCAAGACCAAGACCAGGACCAAGACCAGGACCAGGACCAAGACCAAGACCAAGACCAAGACCAGGACCAGGACCAAGACCAGGACCAGGACCAAGACCAAGACCAAGACCAGGACCAGGACCAGACCAAGACCAAGACCAAGACCAGGACCAAGGACCAGACCAAGACCAGGACCAGACCAGGACCAGGACCAGGACCAGGACCAGGACCAGGACCAGGACCAGGACCAGGACCAAGACCAGGACCAAGACCAGGACCAAGACCAGGACCAGGACCAGGACCAGGACCAGGACCAGAACCAAGACCAAGACCAAGACCAGGACCAGGACCAGGACCAAGACCAGGACCAGGACCAGGACCAGGACCAAGACCAGGACCAGGACCAGACCAGGACCAGGACCAAGACCAAGACCAGGACCAAGACCAGGACCAGGACCAGGACTGAAACGGGACTCAAACAAGGACCAACACTGGGACTAACACTGACCTGAAACAGGGTCTAAAACAAAAATTAAAATAGGTTTAAATCAAGGACTAAAACTAGGACTAAACTGGGTCTAAAACTGGACCAAAGAGGGACTAAAACAGGGACTAAACAGGATTTAAGCAGGTTTAAAACATGGACTAAAACTGGGACTAAAATCGTTTTAAAATTGTTTTAAAATCAGGACTAAAAATGGGACTAAATTGGGACCAAAAATGACAATTGGCTGAACATGAGACTAAAAGTGGACTAAAGACGGACTAAACCAGGACTGAACCAGGACTAAACCAGGACTAAACCAGGACTGAACCAGGACTGGACCAGGACTGGACCAGGACTGAACCAGGACTGGACCAGGACTTCGTGGTCTTGTCTGGGTCTGTGTTGGTTCACATGTGACAGAGACAAACTCGTCTTCAGTTCGTTCACGTTTAAAACATAAAGAAACAAAAAAATATTTAAAGTGTGAATCAAGAAACGACAAGAACAAAAAACACACAGAGTGAAGCTGCACTGCCCCCTGGAGGACAACACACACACACACACACACACACACACACACACACACACACACACACACACACACACACACACACACACACACACTCTGGCCTCGAGAGCAGGTTTGTGTGTTTGTTTTGTCTCGATGTGTCACTCGATGTTTGATCAAACAGAAACAGATTTATAAAAACATTGAAATATTTGCACCAAAATAAATGAAAATAATAAACATGGTCTCGGTCTCATGCAGATGCCCTCCTGTGTGTGTCAGGTCCCTCCTCTGTGTGTCAGGTCCCTCCCCGTGTGTCAGGTCCCTCCTGTGTGTGTCAGGTCCCTCCCCGTGTGTCAGGTCCCTCCCCGTGTGTGTCAGGTCCCTCCCCGTGTGTCAGGTCCCTCCTGTGTGTGTCAGGTCCTCCCCGTGTGTCAGGTCCTCCCCGTTGTGTCAGGTCCCTCCCCGTGTTGTCAGGTCCCTCCCCGGTGTGTCAGGTCCCTCCCCGTGTGTGTCAGGTCCCTCCCCGTGTGTCAGGTCCCTCCTGTGTGTGTCAGGTCCCTCCCCGTGTGTGTCAGGTCCCTCCGTGTGTGTCAGGTCCCTCCCGTGTGTGTCAGGTCCCTCCCGTGTGTGTCAGGTCCCTCCCCGTGTGTGTCAGGTCCCTCCCCGTGTGTGTCAGGTCCCTCCGTGTGTGTCAGGTCCCTCCCGTGTGTGTCAGGTCCCTCCCGTGTGTGTCAGGTCCCCTCCCGGTGTGTCAGGTCCTCCCGTGTGTGTCAGGTCCCTCCCGTGTGTGTCAGGTCCCTCCGTGTGTGTCAGGTCCTCCTGTGTGTGTGTCAGGTCCCTCCCGTGTGTGTGTGTCAGGTCCCTCCGTGTGTGTCAGGTCCCTCCCGTGTGTGTCAGGTCCCTCCCTGTGTGTGTCAGGTCCCTCCCTGTGTGTGTGTCAGGTCCCTCCCTGTGTGTGTGTCAGGTCCCTCCCTGTGTGTGTGTCAGGTCCCTCCCTGTGTGTGTGTCAGGTCCCTCCTGTGTGTGTGTCAGGTCCCCTCCCTGTGTGTGTCAGGTCCCTCCCGTGTGTGTCAGGTCCCTCCCATGTGTGTGTCAGGTCCCTCCCATGTGTGTCAGGTCCCTCCTCTCTGTGTGTCAGGTCCCTCCCTGTGTGTGTGTCAGGTCCCTCCTGTGTGTGTCAGGTCCCTCCCTGTGTGTGTGTCAGGTCCCTCCTGTGTGTGTCAGGTCCCTCCCCGTGTGTGTGTCAGGTCCCTCCCTGTGTGTGTCAGGTCCCTCCTGTGTCTAATCATCATTTTTCTTTCTTTCTTAAAAATATTTGTTCATTTCTTCCTCAAAAATTATAGTTTGATTTATTTTGTTGAGTTTTTATGAATAAAATGAAAACTCCTGGTCCTGGTTTAGATCTGGTTTAGTCCTGGTTTAGTCCTGGTTTAGTTCTGGTTTAGTCCTAGTTCAGTCCTGGTCCTGGTTCAGTCCTGGATTAGTCCTGGTTTAGTCCTGGTTCTGGTTTAGTCCTAGTTCAGTCCTGGTCCTGGTTCAGTCCTGGTTCAGTCCTGGTTTAGTCCTGGTTTAGTCCTGGTGGTGGTTTGGTGCAGTGCGGTCCTGCTGTAGACCTGTAAAAGCCCTGAAGTCCCTGTAAGTCCGTCTTTAGTCGGGTTGAGATCCTCGTTAAACCGGTGCAGTGTTAAATGTGTTAATGAGAGACATTGGGGATAATCAGACCATTACAGACGCACATTAACACCTCAGAGTCACCTTCCCCCAGGACTGGGACTGACACCGAGACCAGGACCAAGACCAGGACCAGAGCTGAGACCAGGGCTGAGACCAGGACCGGGACAGGACCAAGAGTGAGACTAAATCAGGACTGAGGCCGAGATTAAACCAGCGTTTCTCATTAAAACCATCAGAGCAAAATCACCCTCCCCAGGACCAAAGACGGACTAAACCAGAACTAAGACCAGGACTAAACCAGAACTAAGACCAGGACTAAACCAGAACTAAGACCAGGACTAAACCAGAACTAAGACCAGGACTAAACCAGAACTAAGACCAGGACTAAACCAGAACTAAGACCAGGACTAAACCAGAACTAAGACCAGGACTAAACCAGATCTAAACCAGGACTAAACCAGATCTAAACCAGGACTAAACCAGGACTAAACCAGGAATAAATCAGGAATAAAAAAGGCCTAATAACCCAGATCTCTCCCAGGTCTGAGTCTCGTCCTGGTGCTGAAAGACTCACCGTCCTGAAAGACTCGTTCCACGTTGAGCCCGTAGGTGGCGCAGGTCTCGTAGTAGGTGCATCGTTTCAGTTCAGTGGAGAGTTTACGAGCTCGACCGTCGTCGATCACACGAGGATTCACCGAACTGATCGCATCTGACCAGAGAAAAATATAAATATAAATATCATAAATATAAAATATTATTATATTCACTGAACTGGTCACATCTGACAAAGAGAAAAATATAAATATCATAAATATAAAATATTATTCAGTTTCGACACAGACTGAGCTGAAACTAAACTGAGTCTTAAACTCGTGTCTGTGGTCTGGAGAATCTGTCATATTTAGTGACAATTATTTGTTTAAATGTTTTGGAAGAAAAACACAAAATCCAGTTTATCACATCTGAAGAAAAAACTAAAAATATTTTAAAATAAAAATCTGATTTAGACGAAAATAAGAAAATAAAACTTGTTAATATTATTACCTAAATAAAAGAGTCACGTGCTCCTCTGTGTCTTTTATTTATTTGATTTATTTTAATATATTTTATTGGCTTTATTTATTGTTGTTCTGTGGTTTTGTTCTTTTTTTATTGAGCTGGTTTTATTGTTTTAGGACGAGTGTGATTAAATGTGAGAGTTTATTTGATCATTATTATATTATTATTCTTAATTTGATCTATTTGTGTGTTTGTACTGTTGCTTGTGAAATGTGTTATAGAAATAAAATGAATTAGATTGGATTTATTTTTATCTTTTCTCATCACATTTGGATCATATTTTCTGTTATAATGTTCATGTTTAGTGTTTAGGCAAATAAATAAATGTAAATTCTTCAAACTTTGAATTGTGTTTTTAAACATTTATAACTTAGAAAAAAAAATATAAATTACTTTTGCTCAACAAGAACAAAATAAATCTGGAAAAAATCTAATCACATGAAATTGATGTGGTTCAGTTAAAAACAGGGCAATGGCGCCATCTGGTGTCCAACAGGAGAACTGCAGCTCATTTACACAAGTGTAATGACACAGAGCCGCCAGCAGAGGGACTCAGCTGCTCACATAGACACAGAGAGAAAACACGGCTCTAATTTAACTCTGAGTTTTATAGTTTAAATACATAAATGTCAAGATACAAGTGAAATATCAAATAGAAGTTTTACTGTTCACTTTTATAACTGATTTACTCTTAAACACAAAAACACTGAACAGGACGTCTCTTTATTTCTGTTCTTATTTGGTGTTTTGGTTCAGGACACAGACTGAGCGTCACATGACTCTCTCGTTTGAGCTGCAGGTTCAAATATAAATATAAATATAAATATAAAGTGTATTTGTCGCTGACCTTGCGTCCCGACAAGCACCAGCGGGAGCTCGTTTGTGTTTCTGAAATTGGCCAAACGAGTGAAATAATGAAACACCGTCTGAAAACTGATCTCATCCTCCAGAGAGAAGACGAACACCACGGCGTCCACCCACAGAGCGAACTGAGAAACACAACACACAAATATATAAATATACAAATATACAAACACACTGTTATTAAATATACACAAATGTACTGATGTAAAACTGCACGGCGCCACCTGCAGGACAAACTGAGAAACACAACACACAAATATATAAATATACAAATACACTGTTATTAAATATACACAAATGTACTGACAAACAGACTCACAACAGAGAGAAAACCACAGCCTGGATCCTGAAGAAAACTACACAACACACACAGACACACACTGACACACACACACACACAGACAGACACACACAGACACACACACACACACACACACACACACACACACACACAGACACACACACACACACACACACACACACACAGACACATACATATATATAGTTTGCGTGCAGAGCCGGGGTGAAGCGAGCGCCTCTGACTGAATAATGCATCAGATTGTACAGAAACAGAAAGTCTCTTCACACAGACTCAGGTTCATCACGACACGAAGGAAAAGAAGAAAAGAGGAAAACAGGAACAGACTGAAACTGTCTCTGAAATAATCTGGACAAAAACACAGAGTCCACAGACACAAACTGGAGCGGAGTGAATCTGGAGAAGATTAAGATGAATCCAGTCGTTTGTTTAGATCATGAAAGATGAACATGAGAGTTTAAAACATCTGATGCAGAAACTAAAGGTCTGTTCTGAAATACGACAGAAAAAAGAGAAAACTGAGCGTGTTTAAGGTGTGTGCGTGTGTGTGTGTGGTGCAGTACCGACCTGAGCCTCCGGGGGGCCTCCTTCGTCCCTGATGAGCAGCAGGTGACTCTGACCGTCCACCACGATCTCCTTCTTAAACCGACCGCCTTCAAACCAAACACAAAACACTTTTACACTCACCAAACAAACAAAAAAACAGAAACACACACAAACTCCGTGAAATATGAGGAGAGGTCAGAGGTCAGAGGTCGGAGGTCGGAGGTCGGGATGGAAACGTGCGGCTGTGGGATCGACGAGCGAGACGCGACTAAACGTCTCAAACTAAACAACTAAAAGTCTCTGGACCTGACGTGTCTCTCAGATCTGTGGTATGAGCAGCTCCTGAGGTGAAAATAAATCCTCTGTGTTTTGTCTGTGTCTGATTATGAAGAGTTTTACTGTCAGGAAGTGCGCCGTTAGCATGCTCAAACTCCGCTCTGGTCTGTGAGACTGGGAAGTTCTTCTAAACTCCTGGAGGTGAATTGTGAGGACGCTCTGACACAGACGGTCAGAGGAGGAGCTCTGGACGTCTGTGAACTGTTTTTAAAGTTTAAAAAAAGTCAAACTCAGGTCCAGAGACGTGGGTGAGGTGACTGTGACGTAAACTCTGAGATGAGACTCTAAAGGGAAACTCTAAAGTGACGGGAATGACACTTGGATCTTTAAACTCTCGGTGAAATGATTCTCTAAACAAACTGGAGGAAACAGGAGACACATGAAAACAAATGAGACCAGAGCTGAGAATCACCAGAGCTTCAATACTGATACTGATACTGATACTGATACTGGATATCGCTCTGATCCAGGAAAAGGAGCCGGATCAGTATCATTTCCCTGGTATTGGTTCAGTTGATATCCGGGCTGGACACATCGTCTGCTCGTTTATTCATCAAACTGAACATTCTGAATATTTGTGAAATTCAGATTTATCACGTTTGTGTTTTTATCTATAAAATTCTGTTTCAATTAACTAAGATCCACAAACATTTCACTTTTTATTTTTAAACCAAAACAGAAATTCATCGACACAAAACTCGTCTAAATTATAATTTTCATGTTTCAAAAGTGTCTCAGGTTTTCACATCTGTTCAGTGACGCATCAGAAACGTCCAAGAGTTTGAGGAAACGTTTGATGTTTCATGATAATATTTGATAAATATTCACTTGTGTTTTGAATCAAATGAATTTAATCCAAAGTGTGTAAATGTTTGTTTTTTTATGCACAGATCATGTTCAGTTTTGATGTGTTCATGAGGTGGAGGCTTTAATATTGCACCTTTTGGGGTTTTGCCTCTTCCAGCTCCAGAGTTTTTTAAATTGTTACGTTACATATGTGCAAAATAAATCAATAAATAAATCAATAAATAAACATGGACAAAGGTGAACTGTATAAACAGACAGAGGGAGAAGTCTCAGTTTTCACTCTGGTTTAATCGGTCGATATTTAAATCTTTAGTATCAGTATCAATATCAATATCAGTATCAGTTTCAAAAGTGAAACAGTCGATTCTTTATGGTGGAGTGTGATTGAGTCCTTAAAGTTCTCAGCTCTGGGGGTGAATCAGGTGAAACGAGGGGGGGGGGGGGGGGGGGGTTTGAGTGATGTTTGAGTGATGTTTGAGTGATGTTTCAGTGATGTTTCAGTGATGTTTGAGTGATGTTTGAGTGATGTGTTGGTGATGTTTCAGTGATGTTTGAGTGATGTTTGAGTGATGTGTTGGTGATGTTTCAGTGATGTTTGAGTGATGTTTGAGTGATGTTTCAGTGATGTTTCAGTGATGTTGTTGAGTGATGTTTGAGTGATGTTTGAGTGATGTGTTTCAGTGATGTTTGAGTGATGTTTTCAGTGATGTTTCAGTGATGTTTTAGTGATGTTTGAGTGATGTTTGAGTGATGTTTGAGTGATGTTTCAGTGATGTGTTGGTGATGTTTCAGTGATGTTTGAGTGATGTTTGAGTGATGTTGGTGATGTTTCAGTGATGTTTGATGTGAGTGATGTTTCAGTGATGTTTGAGTGATGTTTGAGTGATGTTTCAGTTTGATGATTTGATGTTGTGATGTTTGATGTTGAGTGATGTTTGAGTGATGTTTGAGTGAGTGTTGTTGGTGATGTTTCAGTGATGTTTGAGTGATGTTTGAGTGATGTTTGAGTGATGTGTTTGGTGATGTTTGAGTGATGTTTGAGTGATGTGTTTGAGTGATGTTTGAGTGATGTTTGAGTGATGTTGTTTGATGTTTCAGTGATGATGTTGAGTGATGTTTCAGTGATGTTTCAGTGAGTGATGTTTTGATGTGAGTGATGTTTGAGTGATGTTTGGTTGAGTGATGTTGAGTGATGTGTTGGTGATGTTTCAGTGATGTTCAGTGATGTTTGATGTGAGTGATGTTGGTGATGTTTCGGTGATGTGTTGGTGATGTTTGAGTGATGTTTGAGTGATGTGTTGAGTGATGTTGAGTGATGTTTGAGTGATGTGTGATGTTTTGAGTGATGTTGAGTGATGTTTGAGTGATGTTTCAGTGAGTGATGTTTCAGTGATGTTTGAGTGATGTGTTGGTGATGATGTTGGTGATGTTTCAGTGATGTTTTGAGTGAGTGATGTGTTGGTGATGTTTCGGTGATGTGTTGGTGATGTTTCAGTGATGTTTGAGTGATGTTGAGTGATGTTTCAGTGATGTTTGAGTGATGTTTGAGTGATGTGTTGTTCAGTGATGTTTGAGTGATGTTTGAGTGATGTGTTGGTGATGTTTGAGTGATGTGTTGGTGATGTTTCAGTGATGTTTGAGTGATGTTTGAGTGATGTGTTGGTGATGTGTTGGTGATGTTTCAGTGATGTTTGGTGATGTTGTGATGTTTCAGTGATGTTTGAGTGATGTTGAGTGATGTTTCAGTGATGTTTGATGTGTGTGATGTTTCAGTTGATGTTTCAGTGATGTTTCATGATGTTTGAGTGATGTTTCAGTGATGTTTGAGTGATGTTTCGGTGATGTGTTGGTGATGTTTGATGTGAGTGATGTTTGAGTGATGTTTGAGTGATGTGTTGGTGATGTTTTGAGTGATGTGTTGGTGATGTTTCAGTGATGTTTGAGTGATGTTTCAGTGATGTTTGAGTGATGTTTGAGTGATGTTTGAGTGATGTTTCAGTGATGTTTGAGTGATGTTTGAGTGATGTTTGAGTGATGTTTGAGTGATGTTTGAGTGATGTGTTGGTGATGTTTCAGTGATGTTTCAGTGGTAGATTTAGTAAAAGCTGGTTACCTGCGTCACTGTCAGCTTTAGATCAGCAAAACCACACAGAAGCACAAGCAGAAGTACAAGCAGCAGTTAGAAACACACAACACACAGATACACACAAACACACACAGATACACACAAACACACACAGATACACACAAACACACACAGATACACACAAACACACACAGATACACACAAACACACACAGATACACACAACACACACAGATACACACAAACACACAACACACACAGATACACACAAACACACACAGATACACACAAACACACACAGATACACACAAACACACACAGATACACACAAACACAGAGATACACATACACACAGTAAAAGGCTTTAGATTCATAGAAACAAGATTTAAACCTTTTAAACAGTTTAATAAATCAGAACATGCACCAAACACACAGATTTAGTCCCGGTTTAGTCCTGGTTTAGTCCCTGTTTGAGTCCTGCTCTGGTCCTGGTCCCTGTCGCTGTCATGAGTCCATCTTTAGTCCTGTTTCAGACCCAGTCCCTGTCTGTGTCCCTGTGTTCTGGAGCAGGTTCCCACAGAGGGAGTTTAAGTTCAGTTCTGGTCCAGTCCTGGTCCTGGTCTGGTCCCTGTCCCTGTATTAAGTCCCTTTATAGTCCTGTCTTAGTCCTGTTTCAGTCCTCTTCCAGTCCAGTCCCAGTCTGAGTCATAAGTCCATCTTTAGTCCCTCCTTAGTCCTGCTTTAGTTCCTCTTTAGTCCTGGTCCGTGTCCCTGTGGTGTGGCGCGGGCTGTTTACTCCTGTTTCACTCTTGGTCCTGGTTTGGTCCCTGTATTAAGTCCCTTTTTAGTCCTTCTTTAGTCCCTCTTTAGTCCTGTTTCAGTCCTGGTCCTGGTCCCGGTCCCTGTGGCGGCGGTTCCCACGGCGGGAGTATAAATACATGTGGTCCACAGAAACCACACAAAACCCGGAGACGGACTATTCTGGGACCGGATCTGGGCTTGGATCTGGGTCAGGAATGAGTCCAGGACTTCTGCTCGAACAAGGTCCACTGGGGTTCACTGCAGTCCCGGTCTAGTCCTGGTCTAGTCCTGGTCTAGTCCTGGTCTAGTCCTGGTCTAGTCCCTGGACTAGTCGAGGTCTAAATAGGAGTGAAATGTGTCTAAATCTGGACTAAACTTGGCCTAAAACGAGTCTAAACAAGGGGCTAAACAAGGGGCTAAACCAGGTCTAAACCAGGACTAAACCAGGTCTAAACCAGGTTTACAGAAGGTCTGAAAGAGGTTTGTAGAGGGACTTTCTTTTTCTTCATGAATTTTACAAACAGCAGATTTGTGGAGCTCAGGATCTGAATAAAACATGAGACTAATGAAGAAGTGGGTCAGACCCGCTCCAGACCCAGACCCAGACCCGCTCCAGACCCGGTTTAGTCCACTTTTAGTCTGGGTTCAGTCCTGGTTCAGTTCCTGGTCTAGTCCTTGGCCTAGATCTGGTTTTGTCCAGTTTTAGTCCCAGTTTAGAACATGTTTCAGTCTTTTTCAGTTTTGTTTTAGTCCCTAGATCAGTCCAGGTCTAGTCCAGGTCTAGTCCAGGTCTAGTCCAGGTCTAGTCCAGGTCTAGTCCAGGTCAAGTCCAGGTCAAGTCCAGGTGTAGTCCAGGTCTTACCTTCTGGAGACTCCTCTTGGACGTATGTTCCGGTCAGATATCTGTGGACCAGCGCAGACTTCCCACTCGCCAGATTACCCACAATCCCCTGAGGACACACAACAACAAACTACATTACCCACAATCCCTCTGGTGAGTCATTTACAGTCTTTACACGTGAGGTTTGTGAGTGTGAGGAGCTGAAGTTTCCTCTGTGTTTTTATGGAGACAGATGAGTTTTTTTGTTTTTTTTTAAAGATTTAAAATAAAAGTGAAAAGTGAAGTTTGAAGTTGGACTCACCACTTTGAGTTCGGGCACAGATCTGCTCAGCGTCCACTCCTGACTGTTCACGAACGCATCTGAAACACAAACACAACAACGACGGTCAAATATCCCACTGTCCATGAACGCGTCTCAAACACAAACACAACATGAAGAGAGACGACTCAGACGAGCTGTTCATTTTTGTTTTGAAAATGTTTTATTTGCTCAAAACAATCAAACCCGCTCCCCCTTCAGAGCACCGTCCCACACACTCAGCCTCTCTGTGCTGACCTGCCCCCCCTTCAGAGCACCATCTCACACACTCAGCCTCTCTGTGCTGACCCGCTCCCCCTTCAGAGCACCATCTCACACACTCAGCCTCTCTGTGCTGACCCGCTCCCCCTTCAGAGCACCACACACACACACTCAGCCTCTCTGTGCTGACCCGCTCCCCCTTCAGAGCACCATCTCACACACTCAGCCTCTCTGTGCTGACCCGCTCCCCCTTCAGAGCGTCCTACTGAACCTCCTGCGCGTCACATCAGGTTTGTCGTGTCGTCGTGTTCAGTTTTGTGTCGTGTTGTTGTGTGTTTATGGAGGATTGTGGTGTGGGAGCGTGTGGGCGGAGCCTCGTACAGACTCATACTGCAGCAAACCGTAAGGAGGGTTTGAACAGGGCCCAGGAGAGATCACTAGATGACTCAAACATGCATGACTCTAGAACATCTTCAGGTTGATGATGAGGAACATTAGAACATCTCGACTTTATGAAACATTCACAGGAGTCAAACACTTCAACACAAAAAGACAACATCCTGCACTCAAGAACTGGTTCAGACCTGGTTTAGTCCTGGATTAGTCCTGGTTTAGACCTGGTCTAGTCCTGGTTTAGTCCTAGTTCAGTTTTAATCACACGTTCCAGAGGAGAATGTTCAGAATGTGTGTATTACATCAGAGTCTCAGGTATGAAGTCTGTCAGGTGAGACTCAGGCTCCTCCCACACAGCTGAGGCTCCTCCCACACACCTGAGGCCCCTCCCACACAGGTGCAGACTGTGATGATGTCATACTGGGGTCAGAGGTCACAGGTGTATTGATGTCAGTGTCACAAAACAAGTGTCACAACATCTGGACCAGAGGAGAGTGTTCTTCAGGTGTGACAGGTGTGGCAGGTGTGACAGGTGTGGCAGGTGTGGCAGGTGTGACAGGTGTGGCAGGTGTGACAGGTGTGACAGGTGTGCAGGTGTGCAGGTGTGCAGGTGTGACAGGTGTGCAGGTGTGACAGGTGTGGACAGGTGTGACAGGTGTGGCAGGTGTGACAGGTGTGGCAGGTGTGCAGGTGTGGACAGGTGTGGACAGGTGTGGCAGGTGTGACAGGTGTGGCAGGTGTGACAGGTGTGACAGGTGAGGGGTCTGTGTCGTGCTGTGACAGGTGATAGTTAAACACAAACACAGGTGTTACTTATAGACAGGTGTCAGATTGACAGGTGTCAGATTGACAGGTGCACTGAGTTGTGACGTCACAGTGACACGAGCAGAAAGAACGTGAAGAATCTGAGCCAGAAATCCTCCTCTCCTCCTCTCCTCCTCCTCTCTCCTCCTCCTTCTCCTCCTCCTCTCTTCTCTCCTTCTCCTTCTTCTTCCTTCTCCTTCTCCTCCTCCTCCTCCTCTCTTCTCTTCCGTCTGACACTAGTCCTCTGTTTGGCTCAAACCCTCCTCCTCTCCTCCCCCTCTCATCTCTCCGTCCGTCTCTCTTCCATTTCCTCTCGTCTGTAACACTGCTCCTCTGTTTCACTGAAACACTCTCATCCCTCTCTTTTCCCCTTTCTCCTCCCCCCCTCCCTCTTTTCTTCTCTGTTCTCTCCAGACTTTCTCCTCCTCCCTCTCTCCTTCTTGGTTCTTTTTCTTATCTCGAATCCTCTCTCCGTCTCTACCCTCCCCCCTCCTCTCTCAGTTTTCCACTCCTCTTCTCTCCTCCCTCTCTCGTCTTCTGTTTGACTTAAATGCTCCAGTTTCTCCTCCTCTCCTCCCTCTCTCTCTCCTCTCTCCTCCCTCTCTCCCTCTCCTCTCCTCTCCTCTCTCCTCTTCTCTCCATAACAGTTCTTCTATTTGGCTTGAAAACTCTCGTTCCTCCCTCTCTCCTCTCCTCCGTCTCTCCTCCGTCGTCATCGCTCGTTCTTGTGTTTCTGTGGACACTTGTGTTTGGTCGCAGACAGGAAGTTGTTGCAGCTGTTTCCTGTTTTCTGGGTTTAATCTCGAATCTCAAATTCTTCAAAGTCTCAAAGAGTCGGAGCCGATTCCAGTCGCTCTGGTTTAAACATCGGACGCACACGCGACAATAACACACGACACACACATGACACACACACGACACACACGACAATAACACATGACAACGTATGCCTGAGCGTTACACCAGATGCCCTCCCTCAGTCGTGGACGACAAACTTTCATCAGAGTTTGGATTTTTAAAAACTAAAAACTAAAATGTGAAGTTTCATGTGATGTTAAATGTGTGTGTGTGTAAATGTGTTGTACAGTTAGAGTTGTGCGTGTGTGTGTGTGTGTGTGTGTGTGTGTGTGTGTGTGTGTGTGTGTGTGTGTGTGTGTGTGTGTGTGTGTGTGTGTGTGTGTGTGTGTGTGTGTGTGTGTGTGTCTGTGTGTGTGTGTGTGTGTGTGTGTGTGTGTGTGTGTCAGAGGGACAGGGGAAATAGGGCAGTGGGGCAGGACAACTGAGCTTTCACTGTATTTATTATTAAAGGCACTAAACCAGGACTAAAGGAGGACTAAATCAGATCTAAACCAGACTAAACCAGACTAATCCAGGACTAAACCAGGACTGATTTTATTCCATGTTTTTTGAGTATTTGAGCCAATCAGAGAGGAGCTGAGTGTGATGTCATCATGAGTGTGACAGTTTTATATTTGCATAAACTTTTAGGAGCGTTTGACAAACGAGAAGAGGAAACTCTGAGCTGGGACTGAAGAAGAACTAAACCAGGTCTAAAAGCAGGACTAAACCAGCAGGACTAAACCAGGACTAAACCGGGACTAAACCAGGACTAAACCAGGACTAAAGCAGGTCTAAACCAGGACTGAACCAGGACTGAATCAGGAGTGAATCTGTAGAGATGAAGGAATGTGATGGAGGAGGAGTGACCTAAATCTGAGACACACACACAGGCCCAGCCCCCAGTATAATACCCCAGAATAATGCCCCATATCTGCCCCATTTACCCCACACAAACCCCCCCCAACCCCACAGCCCATCACCACATCAGAGGAGACACGAGAAAACTACAAACTCGTCATCCACAAAAAACTGACACGATCCGTCACACGTTCCTTTTACTGTTAACTGTTATATTCACCCAAAATGTGATGTTCCTCTTCATCAAAAACCTGTCTGAAGGGTTTTTTTTTCTCTCCTGGGGCCTGTTCAAACCCTCCTCACTGTTAACTGTAGAGTCTGTACGAGGCTCCACCCACATCCTCCCACACCACAATTCAACATAAAAACACAAAAATACGACATAAAACTGAACACAGCGACTGGACAAACTGATGTGACGTGGAGGAGGTTCATTAGTGTGACGCTCTGAAGGGGGAGCAACTCAGCACAGAGAGCAAAGTGAAACTAAATAAAATGTGTGAATTCTGTTATTTTGGGCAAATAAAACCTTCACAACAACAAGAACAATCAAAGGAACATGGAACAGAAACTCGTCCTGTTTAAAACATTTATATTTATGTGTTTGACCTCTGACCCAGACACATGTCGCTGTCTGTGTCTGTGTGTGTGTGTGTGTGTGTGTGTCTGTGTGTGTGTGTGTGTGTGTGTGTGTGTGTGTCTGTGTCTGTGTGTGTGTGTGTGTGTCTGTGTGTGTCTGTGTGTGTGTGTGTCTGTGTGTGTGTGTATCTGTGTGTGTGTCTGTGTGTGTGTTGTGTGTGTGTGTGTGTGTGTCTGTGTGTGTGTGTGTGTGTGTGTGTCTGTGTGTGTGTGTGTGTGTGTGTGTCTGTGTGTGTGTGTGTGTGTGTGTGTCTGTGTGTGTGTGTCTGTGTGTGTCTGTGTGTGTGTCTGTGTGTGTGTCTGTGTGTGTGTGTGTGTGTGTGTCTGTGTGTGTGTGTGTGTCTGTGTGTGTCTGTGTGTGTGTCTGTGTCTGTGTGTGTGTCTGTGTGTGTGTCTGTGTGTGTGTCTGTGTGTGTGTGTGTGTGTGTGTGTGTCTGTGTGTGTGTGTGTGTGTGTGTGTGTGTGTGTGTGTGTGTGTGTGTGTGTGTGTGTCTGTGTGTGTGTCTGTGTGTGTGTGTGTGTGTGTCTGTGTGTGTGTCTGTGTGTGTGTGTGTGTGTGTCTGTGTGTGTGTGTGTGTGTGTGTCTGTGTGTGTGTGTGTCTGTGTGTGTGTGTGTGTGTGTGTGTGTGTGTGTGTGTGTGTGTGTGTGTGTCTGTGTGTGTGTGTGTGTCTGTGTGTGTGTGTGTGTGTGTGTGTGTCTGTGTGTGTGTGTGTCTGTGTGTGTGTGTGTGTGTCGGTGTGTGTGTGTGTGTCTGTGTGTGTGTCTGTGTGTGTGTGTGTGTGTGTGTCTGTGTGTGTGTGTGTGTGTGTCTGTGTGTGTGTGTCTGTGTGTGTGTGTGTGTGTGTGTGTGTGTGTCTGTGTGTGTGTGTGTGTCTGTGTGTGTGTGTCTGTGTGTGTGTGTGTGTCTGTGTGTGTGTGTGTGTCTGTGTGTGTGTGTGTGTGTGTGTGTGTGTCTGTGTGTGTGTGTGTGTGTGTGTGTGTGTGTGTGTGTGTGTGTGTCTGTGTGTGTGTGTGTGTGTGTGTGTGTGTGTGTGTGTGTGTCTGTGTGTGTGTGTGTGTGTGTCTGTGTGTGTGTGTGTGTGTGTGTGTGTGTGTGTGTGTGTGTGTGTGTGTGTGTGTGTGTGTGTGTGTGTGTGTGTGAGGTCTTGACGGGTCATTAACACTCGTCTGTGTCACTCTGAGCCTGAGGAGCTCAAGTCCAACAATGACACGACTGACCTGAGTCCAAACACAAACTACAGCCACTTCAGGTCACACCGAGTCACCGGGATCACACCGAGTCAGCGGGATTTATGTCACAACACA